TAAAATGATGGCCTCCTGATGGCTCTTGATCCTTTGTCCTTCAGAACTGCTGTGGGTCTGTCTTGTCTCTCCTGTGCGCTCCCACAGCATACTGAACTGAGTATCACAATCGCTAATATTTACTGAATGTTCACTATGGGCTAGGCACTCCGCTAAACTCTTTAGGTGAATTAATCTGTCGCATTCCCACACAACCCTAGAGGTAAGTATTAACATTACCCCTCTTTTAGCCAGGGGGAAACAGATACAGGTAAGAGGCCTACCCAAGGCCACACAGTCCACAAGCAGTAGAGCTTGGATTTGAATGAAGATAGCCTGTGTGGAGAGCCAGCCTGTGTACCTACGGTGTCCCCCTGTTCCCAAATCACAGCACCTACTATTTGCTTGCCTAAACCCCCACTCTAGGCTGGGACTTCTGAGAGCAGGGACCTTGCCAGGTAGGTCTCTCTATCTCAGTTCCAGACAGTGCACGGCACATGGAGGTGTTAAATGCGAGTTAACACAGAATGGGTGGATTCTCTACATTCAAAACAGAAGCAGGACAGAGAACCGGTGAGATGAAATGACAGCATAAATGGCAAGGTGCATTGGAAACTGTCAGCCAGGCAGCCAGGTGCATAGACAAAGAGGTTAGGGGACAGGTGTAGAAGAGAGTCCACAGAATCAAGAAGGTAATACAAACTGCTTGTAAAGGATGTTACTTCCTTCTCGCAGTGAATTGATCAATCAATTATCAAATCAAACCACTAAACATTTATTGAGCAACTGTTTGTGCCAAGCTCTGCTCTGGGTGCTGAAAACACAAAGGTAAACATGTCACCATCCCTGCCCTGGGGGCCCACTGCCTGGAAGGGGAGAGGACACAGTCATAGGTAGGTATAATTCAAAGTGGCAAATGCAAGGATAGAGGGATCAGAGACAGGCTCTATTACAGGACAAATGCATTGTGGCAGGATAAGGAAGCTGCACCCAACAGAGCCTAGGAGATCCAGCAGGGCTTCCTGGTGGAGGTGAGCGCTGAGCTGTGCCTTAAGTAAGGAGACAGGAGAAGAGAGGGTGGGAGAACTTTCAGCAGGACAATATGAGCCAAGGCATGGAGATGAGACATGGCAGGCTGTGTGAGGGTAACTATGGAGGCGTCAGTGTTTCTGGGGCATCAACTTCATGGCAGAAGGTGCCAGAAGCTGAGGATGGTGAGGTAGGCAGGGGCTAGATTACAGAGACCTTTGACTTAATCCGTAAGGATTCAGCCTTTATTTTTAGAAGCCAACGAAGGCTTTTAAGCAGGCAGGGGAGTGGTATGCTTGGATGGCCAAACCTAGGAGAGAGTGGAGGATGGGTATGAGGGAAGCCAACCCTGGAGGCAGGAAAACATGTTAGTGCAAAATGAACTAGCTGAGTGGTCAGAAGAAGCCACCGCCAAAGCATAAAGTGACAAGGGACTGAGTGAAGGCAGTGGCTGCTGGGATGGAGCGGAGGGTGTGGCTCTGTCTTCTCCATGGGCAGGTGCTCGCTTCTCAGACAGTGGCCCTTGCCAGAGGTTGGTGGACTGCAGACTTGTGTCAGCTGGGGTCAGAGCTGTCCCAGACCCCTTCAAAGTCCCTGTTTGCTAATTCAGAGGGCAGGTACAGGGAAAAGGAGACAGGTGCTCAGAATTCCTGGTTCTTTTCCTGCTTCTAACTAACCCACTTTGTGGCAGAAGGAAGGGTGAGGTTTGGGAAGGAACTACCTCCTTTTTTAACTTTGGAGGAAATGAGAGGGGCTATTGTTCCAGAATGTTTATGCCACTGAGACTCTTGTTCATCAGTAAGGCTAGGATCTGGAGAGAGCCCCTCAGTGGTGAACCAG